TGTTGTTGTTCAGTTGTTGTTTTGATCCTTTTTCAGGATTTTAATTGAAATCTAATGTAAATTATGTAAATTGTTAGAAAAAAAAGCCATTTATAGAAACTCACATTCTTCTTTCTTATGAAAATGTGGTTCAAATAAGCTGAATACTTTGTGTGGTAAGGATGAAATATGTAATTACTGAAACAAACTCTTGCTTGTTTATTAACTTAGGATGAATTGTAGCATTAAAGCCTTAAAGGTCAATGGCATTTTAAAATGCAAGGTTGATAAGGGTGTTTTCCAGGTAATTTTATGCTTTCGTATTGTTTTAGTGCGGAGTCGAGGCTTGATTGTCAGTGCTTTTTGTTGTGTTTTTGAATAGTTGATGCAAGTTCTTTATTTTGTAAAGGATATTGCTTCAAGACTTAAAGCTGCTGTCAATGAAGACTTAGAAAAGCTATTTCATAAAATACTCTTGTTAAGCTTAAACTAATGACCTAAATATAAGGGATTTCCAATCTCTTTCTAGTTGGTTGTTTCTTGGCAGTCAAGTAAAAACTGACATGAAATATTCGAAATATATTCTTTGTCAAGAATTGGATTCCAAAGAAATAACAGTTTTATTACAAAGAAAACTGTAGTTGGTTTTATTATTCACAAGGAAAAAAGGATATTGGGTAATAAAGGATATTGGGTAATAAAACTGTACAATCTCTTCTTTGAACTCAAGAAAAAAGGATCTTTGTAATAAAACTGTAGTTGGTTTTATTATTCACAATTACAATATTCGAAATATATTCTCTAACCTTTTTGTTCTCCTATTTATAGACATACTGTCTAACTAATCCTATTAAAGGAACTGACTTTAGTAAGTTCTAGAACCCTGGTACTACTGTAACTACTGTGCACTAGCTGCACAGTATACTTGCTAAGCCTAACTAATCCCTAAAGTCTAGGAAACAAACTAACAGATTTAGTTAGTCTTGTGAGTCTATAAATAGACCACACTCCTTGTAATTCACAATCAGTTATTGCAAAAACAGAAAAGTAGAGAAACTCAGTTGAGATTTCTCTCTCTCAACATCTATGAATATTGAATTCTAACTAACATGGTATCAGAGCGCGGGCTCACGGTCCATGGACCTCTAGGACAAGATTTGATGCCATCTTAGAATATGTATTATACCTAACTCAGCCCAGTGTTATCGATGACAGAGCTAAAAACCCGCCACCAATATTTGCCACAGCGTTGCAATGTCCCAAATTTGACAACACCGACTCAACCCTACATCCCATAGTCTTAAGAATAATGGTCTTTCATCATCATTGTTGGCATCTGCATGACTTGACTTTTGACATGGTCTATATAGATTACTCCTACACTGACAGCATATTAATTAATGGATTTGTTGACTTTCGGGATGTGATAAAAACCATTCTTGTACACTTGCTTGATGGCATAATCTTTTAGGATAGTTGCTTCCTTACCTGGTATTGGAGTCTCCATGACAATTTTATTTGGGTTTCAATAGTTGCTTCCTCCATTCTTCTAAATTAGCCTTGAACTTCAGCACAGTGAAAATTGATTAGTACATTGTTTGTGCTCTTAGCCTAAAAGGTTCAAGTGAGGGGGTGTATCAAAGAGATCTAAGCCTTCATGCATCTTCATCCAGAACATTAGTTTTGGGAGAGTTGGTTCTTAATTAGACTGACTGACTCTATCATGGATTCTATGGTAGTACTTCAACCCATTCCATCAATCCAAAGGTAGCGTAAGGAAATAAGGAATAGCCAAACACAATGTGCTCATGAAGTAATGGAAAATAAATTAAGATTGTATATATTAGTCATCTGTGACAAGTCATGAAATATATTTGTAGTGACGGAATGAGAAATACTTGGGTGTGGAAGGTTGAGAGTGCCTGTTGGACTTTGCTGACACTAATTGAAGCTTGAGGTTCGGTAGCCACTTGCTTGAATTTTGCATTGGATAACTTTATAATTGGCCTATTTGTTGATGACCAAAACTGAATCTACTTATTATAGGATATCAGTATAATGAGTGGTTATTTAAATTCTTTACAATATCTTGCAGTAACTGATACTCACAGATTAACACATGCAATGAATTGTCGGATTTTGGCTATTTTATTATTATGGCTTGTGGAATCACTGTTTTGCAGCAAATAGGTTTAGTTCCATATACATATTTCTGTTTTGAATTATCAGGTTGTTTCTTATGCTGAAATTGGTGTTATGCTCACCACTCCTAATTTTTTGTTGTTTTAGATATCAGCTTCATATATCATATAATCCGTGGTCAAGCAACAATCAAACTGTATGTGATCTACAACGTCTTAGAGGTGAGCATAAATTAACCCTTATCCAAATTTTACTTAGTAATTTGCTCTCCTTTCATACCAAATATTTTTCGATACCTTATTATTTAAAAAAATATTCACAAAAACGATAATAATCCATATTTATTAAATTATTTCAATGGATGTTCGATAGAGTGAATTCTAGAGCGAAGATCTGAAACAAAAAGCACATTCATTTGGCAAACCTAAACAGCAGAAAAGTACCGTGCTCGTCAGCTTACTCTTCTCACTGGTTTGTTTCAGACTCCAATTTCTATTATCCATCAATCTCATCCATTTAATTTGAAATGAACAATTTATTCAGATTTTGCATGAATGATTTTTTATGGGGAAATCCATCGATTTTGTTTAATTGATCGATTTTTCTTGATTTGTGGCTGCAGAGTGAAACAATTGAAGGGGGAAAACGGTGGCGATGGCAGGTAACACGCAAGATTCATCACCTCAGTCTTTCTGGGAAGGCTACAAAGAGTTTTGGGGCGAGAGGTTTTCGTTTATGAGCAATTATTCCAACTTCATCAAGCGTGATAAACCCCTCACTTCCTGGTCTGACTCTGATGTTGAGGAATTCATCGCTTCTGATCCTCTTCATGGACCCGTGGTAACGATTCTTTTACTTTTTGTTCGATTCAATGCATTTATATCATGATTTTCTACATAGCTTATGCTTAGAGGACATACTGTTTCTACCTTGTATTGCCCAGCGATACGACATCCCTTTCATGTTTGCACCATACCTTTTGTTTTTGGGATAAATGTTTACACTCTGCACTTTTAGTTGGAAGCTTTGACATTTAATTTAAATTCTTCTATCCTGGTTCTTTCATTCCCCATGTTGCTGCATTTTTTTGATTAGTTTGGTTACTCTAGACTGCACAAGCAGCACTACATCAAGAGATGTAAACCACTATTTCTTTTTTGCTTATGGCAGATGTGGTGTCTAAAATGTATGTAAATCTCTATTATATAGATCAAATTCCTTTTGGAAGCTCTTCTGCTACCCTGGACTGATGGAACAGACATCACACTCATGTAAAATGACGTGCTATTGTGATGCAAACCAGATTTCTAGGGAATTAAACAGTAAATAATGCCAATGCAGAATAAGAGAAAGCATTGTTATAATTGATGAAATGTGATAGCAGCAGTAGGAAACAATCTCCCCAACTACCCATAGAGCTCGATCCTCAGAGAATAATCAATCCCCTGCCAAAAGAACTGAAAAATAACTTTTCATGCCCTATTTCCCCTGCCAAATCGATACCTTTCAGAAAAGATTTTTTTTTTGGACAGTATATGTTATTGTAAAAGTTGAACTATTGAAGTACTATTGTGTAGTTTTATACTTAATTTTCATGTGTTTCATTCTTGGTTGAATAATATTAAATTTCACAGGGGTCAATTTAATTGGAAGGTTTAGAAGAAAATGCAAAGGCCAATGAAACTTCTTAGTTAGTGGTGAGTTACATGAAAGAGGAAACATTTTAGGGATTATGTATTCCTTATTTGTATGTTGAAGCAATTTAAGAGATGAAGTATTTTCTTAGAACCTTGACAGCCTACCATGTTATTGCAAAGGTATATTTTTTATATAGTTTATTCATCACACATGTAAGTTTCTCAATCTTCGTGGTACTTTTTCTTCCATTTCGATAATGAATGTGTTTCTTCGTCATAGCTTCCCATCAGGTGAGCAAGGTTGGTGCTTATTCAAGAATAAAGCAAGAACTAGAGTCAAAGAAACAAGAATTCACCTATGAAGAAGTATTAAGCATTACCAGAAACTTTGAAAAGGTGGTGGGGGAAAGAAGCATCTGAAATAGTCTACCATGGCTGGATTGTGATGATATTGACGTAGCTGTCAAAATGCTATCTTTCTCATCAGCTCAAGGATATCTACAATTTCAAGTAGAGGTAGTATGATTAACTAACTTGCAAATGTCATCATGCCTGTGTGAGTGTAAATACAGTTAACAAGTTTTATCCTTTGTGATTGAAAGGCCAAATGTTTTGCTATAGTTCATCATAAATACTTGATTGGTCTTATAGGGTATTGTGATGATGGCACCTAACAAATGACAATTTTAATGTTTGTTGTTTTATTTACACTACTACACATGTGAGTGAAATATTTGTAGTAAGTGTTATTGAAATTCGAGTCTTTTCGTTTAATTTGTATCAGTTATAACATAGGAACTCTAATCGCTAGATTTGGCCTTTATCAAGGTTACAGATTCAATTTTGCGATGCTTACATTTCCATCGGGGTTGTTTGCATTCTTCTTTATTTTGTAAGTGATTATTGCTCACATTTTTTTTAAATACATGCTTTCAATTATTATTGTTTATGTTAACCTGTATGACAGTGATTGAGTTTCATGGTTGATGTTAATATTACATGAAGGAGTATGAGTACATTGCATAACAACTAATTGCTTGCTTCTATTCCTCCAAGCTGGAGCTTCATCGATCAATTCACTGTATTAGTACAAGGTATTCATGTTCCTCCTGAATGTACATGTAACGTCATAGTAAATTCTATTTTACAGTTTGAAATATTCTGCCCCTTCATATTGAGCGTGTTCTTTTTTATTTAATCATTTTGTTTAAACATGGTTAATGATCTTAGGGACTAGACGCAATGGTTGGTGAACATGGAACTCAACTCTAGGGAGGTCAAAAGCAAAGAGTTGCAATTGGAAGAGCAATTTTGAAAGATCCAAAAATATTACTTCTTGATGAAGCTACAAGTGCCCTTGATGCCGAGTGTGCATGTATTGATACTAACTTGTGCATTTGTATGTTCTTTTTAAACCTTGGTGATTTCCTTGTGCAGAAACTAGGGGAAGGTGTGAAAGGGGTGTATATCTCGATAGACGTGGATTGTCTTGATCCTGCATTTGCTCCGGGAGTGTCTCATATTGAACCGGGAGGTCTTTCTTTCCGCGATGTTCTTAACATCCTACACAATCTCCAAGGTGATGTTGTTGCTGGAGACGTCGTTGAACTCAACCCACAACGCGATACTGTTGATGGAATGACTGCTATGGTAGCTGCTAAGTTGGTCAGAGAAATGGCTGCAAAGATTGCAAAATGATCAAGAGATTTCGGAGCTAACCTCTTTTTGTTATAGTTCCTGAAAATCGGAAAATCTCACTTGTTATAGGTAACTTGTAGCAAAGTTATAAGGTGGTATAAGCATATTACAATGTGCAATAATTCATAAATCTTTTCTCCCAATAATAAGTACTGGTATCTCACGGAAATCTCACGCTTCAATAGCAAAAGCAATGTCTCCTTGCATTATTTTACAAATGGTTTCCCAACTGAATTAATAATACTGAGTTAGTAAATATTTCAAAACAATTGGATTGCTCATTTCAAAACAATGTTGAAAAGTGATAGAAAATAAAATAAAAATACTATAAATAAAAAAATATTAAAGTAAATAATAATTTAAATATAATAGTAAAATATTATAGTAAAATAATATTATATTTAAAATTATTTTACTAAATAATAATTTAAATAAAAATATTATTTGAAATTTATAAATCAGATTACGACGGTTAAAGTCAAATTTACGACGGTATATAACCGTCGCAAACAACAACAACAAAAAATAAAGTCAAATTCACGACGGTATATAACCGTCGCAAACAACAACAAAAACAAAAAATAAAGTCAAATTCACGACGGTATATAACCGTCGCAAACAACAACAAAAACAAAAAATAAAGTCAAATTCACGACGGTATATAACCGTCGCAAACAACAACAAAAACAAAAAATAAAGTCAAATTCACGACGGTATATAACCGTCGCCATCTGTTGTGCGTGACAGTTTTTGCAACCGTCGCGAAATAGGCTGGGGACGCACGATTCTGCGACGGTACTTCTACCGTCGTAGATTGTAAATTGCGACGGTTTTAACCGTCGTAATCAGCCAAAATAACCGTCCCAATCTATCATTTTTCTTGTAGTGACCGACTTTTTATTTTATCCTAAGGAAAGGTTTAAAAAGCACAGCAAAAACCTTTGAGATATTTTCTTGGGTTCGGGGAGTAGATTATAGAAAGGGAAGGTATTAGCACCCTTTCTATCCATGGTTATCCATGGGCTCTTAAGTACTTGCTTAGATCAACTTGCCTTGGTTTTCAATTGTTTGAAATGGTGCTTTGTGTGTGGTTTTGAAAAGTGTTTTGAAAAAGATGCCTTGTCTAGGCTACCCTTGTAACAATTCTTTACTCGAATGTTTTACAAAAGGTATTTGTCTTTTCGAAAAGATGTTTCAAGGTTTTTGAAAGTTTGTTTTGAAAGTGTTTGTGAAGTGTGGTTTGAAAAATAGGCAAGTGTTTTTTGTTTTTGCAAGTTGGCAAGTACTTAAGAGCTATCTACCCTAAAGTTCTCAAAGATTTTTGCTATGTTTTAACCCCTTTAACAATTTTGTTCCACCATTGCATTTGGTGGACAATCTTGTGTTAGGATGTGAAAGGGACGGGCGCGGGTCATCGATTAGACCATAATTGCAATGGTGCCAAGTATCTTTGGGCAATTTTCTTTTAAGGGACTTGATCATTTTTAGGCAACTTTCGAAAGCGTCGTCGAGGGACTATGATCATTTGAATTGTATTTGTTTTTGCCCAAAGAGACCTAACATGCAATATGACCCTTTTATTGAAGGCAACAAGTGGGGTACCCTAGAGATGCATGTGTGATATGTGTTGTCCATTTTCATGCTTGTTTATCTTGAAATTAGGTCAAACTATTTTGTTCTTTTTATTTGCATACAAACCCTAATTCTAACATGGTATAATTAGAAAGCATTAAAGTGCGAAAATTAAAATTCCTAAGCTATTACAACACAATATGGGAAGGGGGGTACAAATGTTCAATTGGGGATTTTGACAAGGAATTTAAACCTAGCTATTACATCAATTTGGAATTATTTACAAGATAATCAATTGCACAAATTAAATGGAAATAAAATAAATATGCAAAAATGCAAAAAGGTTTTTTTATATGTATAGAAAAAGGTATTTATTTTATGTCAAATAAACAAAATAAAAAAAAATATTATTTTTGGAGTTTTTGTGTTTTAAGGGCAAAACCCTAATTCATTAAGTAAATATATTAATTATTTAATATATACAAATATTTAATAATTATGTACAAAATAAAATAAAAATGAAGTATATTCATAAAAAGTATTTTTTAGGTCAAATATTAATAAAATAAAAATATATATATTTTTTGTATTATTTACCTAAATATACTAATATATATAAATATCTTTATTATTTACTAAATAAGTATTATATATATAAAATAATAATATTTAATATTTATAAAAAAAAGTATATTTTTTTTTATACAAAATGTTTTCAAAAGAGAAAATGAAATAAAAATCAGAAATAAAATATATTTGCATTATTTTTCTAGTTTTTCTAAATAATAGTATATGTATAATATTTATGTACAAATGTCCATATAAACAAATAAATACCTAAAAAATATGAAAATGGTGTAAAAATATTTTTTATGTTTTTTAATATTATTAGCAAAAATAAATAAATCAGAATAAAAAGAGAAAAGTCAAAAAATCATTAAAACAAACAAAATGGGTTCAGGGGGTATGAAAGCAAAAATAGGGTGTGAAGAGAAATAGCACAACAGGCCCAGCCCAGGAAGACCTTTCTTCAACCTTCAGACAGCTCTTGTTCAAAAAAAAACACGCGCCATGTTCATGAATTCAAACATCCTGATTCCTTGAGTTTTAGCACAAACTTACAACATAAAAAATGTTAATCATCAAGCCACGATTCTAAATATATAAAGAACTCGTCCTAACTCTCAGAAATGAGAGAGAATTTTATCATTCCCAAATCCTAACCTAATTTTTTATCAACATTCAGACCTTAAATTCTCATAGCTCAGGCAAAATAAATGGAAAGTAAAAGTATGTACAGATTCAGGGGCATGAGTAGAACACTTCTTATTCACAAACCTAGAGCTAATGATGCCTACATTGGAAGATAGAAGTTCATGAATATACCTTCTCAGTTGGAATTGTATCTGATGATGGAGGTACTTTCAGAGCAAGGTGATGATTGGTACAGCTTCCTTGATGTCCATGAATGCTATTCCAAGTTTTACTTTACTTTGAAACACTTTGAATCGAGCTATGGAACTTCAACTGCAAAACAAGAAAGTGAAAATGGTGGAACTGATTAGAGGAGTTACAGGTCGTGTTTGAGACTTTGGTTAGCTTCAAGTGATGCTAGGGAATGTGTTTGATGAGCTTTTAGCAAGAATGCATGAAAGGGATGAGAGTTGGCACTCAAACTGCAGTAGGAGCTCTGTTTGGGCAGTTTGAGGGTTGTTCTGTATTCTAGAGGGCAATGGAGGTGTTGGAGTCGTGTGTTAGCTCAGTTAGGATGTCTTGAATGTGTACAAAATATTTGCTTAAGGGTTCTATTGCTGAGATCAAAGTTGTGTTCAGTTATGCCATATTTCTTACACTTTAAGCAACCAAAAGCCAAGTTGGTGTTTAGACAGGTAGAGGCCCCCATAACATGCTGCAAACCTTGGCATTGATCAGTGTGATTAGTCCCTAAACTTTTGCCAAGGGGATTTGATCTGTACTTCTTGGATTTTCATTTTGACATAAAGCTTACTTTTGCAAAAATGGTTAAAGTGCTTTATCTATTTTGGGATTAATCCATCATGCAATGCTTGAACACATAGAACATGGTCTTGGCACAAAGAGTTTGCATTAAATTTATGAGTGTTGGATGGTTTAGAGGCCTGTAATCAAGGGAAGCATGCTGATTTGAAAATTTGCACAAGTTATGAACATGGAAATTGGCCAATTCAAAAGTGAGTTTTTGTCATATTGCAAAATTCGATTCTCTCAAGTCATGAGGTTGTTTGATGAGTTCTTGGACATTTTGGAAAGCTTGGAATGTGTACTACAATCCATCTTTGAAATGCAAATTGAAATTCCAAGTGGAAGTATGTGAAAAATGGTCTTGAAGTTAGGTAAAAACCTTGCCTAAAAAGGTCAAAATTTCACTAAGTTAAGAATGGTTTGGTACCCTTATTCCAAAAATTGTAACTTGAGATACAAGCTTCTTTTGGGAAAACTTTGTGAATCAAAGTTGTAGATTATGCAATAGGCTACAACTTTCATGTTTTGACTTTTGCTTGAATCCAAATGAATCTTGGTGAGAAAGTGGGGCAAAGTTGGGAAAAAATTAGGGTTTTTCATAACTTAGAAAAATTCTAAGTTATGAAAAATTCTCATTTCAAACCCTAATTTGCAATTTTTGATTTCTTGGTGAACAAGTTTCATGATTTGGCATGTTTTGATGAAAAATGAATCTTGACTCTTGATTTTGACCAAAAAGTCAAAGTTTGACTTTTCAGTATACAGTCAAAATTGATCGATTGACTGGGGAATTCAACTGTCAATCTTGTGTATTTGGGATCTTTTGAGCTTGTTGAGCATGTCAAGATAATTCCAAGGGGTCCTTGAGTCCATATGTGAGCTTGGTTTGCCATTGGCTAGGTCAAACAGTCAAAAATTGCCCTTGTGCAGTCAAAACCCTAAAAATGACCATTTTGCCCTTTTGGTGATCTGATCAAATTTCTTGTGGAATTGTGATCCAAACTTGATCAAATGGTCCATGTGAGTTCATAATGTTGATGTGGATCAATTTTCATGAGATTTGACTGTCAATTGGCCACAGTTGACTTTTTCCCCAATACAGTTGATTTCTAGGTCAACTGTCCAATTGACTGGGCAAAATTTGGAATCAAGACTTGAAACTTGGTATGGATAAACTTGGGAGTCCAACATGAAGCATGAAAGTCATCTTAGGCATTTTAGGTCAAAAAATCTTTGTGCAAACACAAACCCTAATTTGGGTCAACAGTGCAAGGAGAAGTCTTGAGCAGATGAAACCCTAACTGGATCTTGATCTCCAAGGGCTTTGTGATGGGAAATGTTGAGAAAGTGGGAGGGCAAATTTTGGGGTACAACAGTTTCCCCTGTTCAATCTTCTTGAACCTGAAGAGTTAGATTGGCAAGTTTGC